CGCCTTCCAGCGCGCCAACTAGCACCGCATACTGACCCACAACAGCCTGCCGTGGGGACTGAACCACATTCACCAGCATGCTCTGTACTGAAGCTCACACACCCCTTCAATACAGCCTTCACCATCCCACACAGCAACCACAACAGGATCTGCCATTCAGCCCATGGGCTGACAGCACCACCCGGACCGTGTTCTAGTCCCAGCCATGCCGAGCATCGTCCCTGGTCCAGCAGCATTCCAGCACATATGAAAATTAATGCAGGAGACAAACACCCCATGCTCTGGTGCGTATCCCTAAAGAATCCCATACGTTCCTCTGCACAGAGCATCGCAGCCTCGTATTTTATAGCCGTTCATGGGTTCATTCATTTATTCAGGAAAAATCGTTAAGTGCCTGCTAGGTGCTAAGCCTTCTGCTAAGCACTGGGGATCAACACTGACAAAGATAGTCACAACCTTTCAATCTAGTCAGGAAGACAGACATTGCACCAAACAAGCAATTACAGTAAAGTGTGATGAGTTTGTTGATAGGACACTAGCGGATGATCCATCCCCAGGAATCAGGAAGAGTCTGGGCGAGCGGGAAGGAGCAAGGCACCGCAAGGGATGGGGGCTAGAGGCGGGCGTGGCACGGGGAACAGTATGGACATCGCAGGTGGATGGCTGTGCACGGACAGAGCCGGGAAGGGACGAGGACGCCCTGCGTGTTTGAGGAACTGCAAGCAGCTCAGAAATGCTTGCTCTTGGACGGCAGGAGCCAAAGCTGGGGAGGGGGCAGACGCTGGACCCTGGAAGACCCCAAAAGCCATACATGCTCAGGAACAGTAGGCATTATGCTGGGGGTAGCAGAGAGCCACCAGGGAAGCTTTAAGCAAGAGGGACGCCATCAGATGCACAGGTAGAAGATATTACTCAGGTACATTACAATGCACCAAAGCTCGTGGATCTCCGTCGTTGGGAAAAATGCTCTGCAAACAGCTCTTGCCATAACAAAAGCCGGCACTGCGAACAACTGAAGAGCTCATGTTAATGAATCTCCAGTAATTGCACCCTTCACTGGTGTGTGAATTGAATCCTCTGTTCCTGCCCTGTGTTTTTTCTCCCGCTGCACTCTATTTAATAGCACGCATGAATCAGGCACGCCAACAGATACACGCATGCCTTGTAATAACCCGCAGGCCCGCGGCACTCTGCACACCCTTGCTACGGGCCCTTACGGAGGTGTGCAGAAGGGGAAATGTGAAATCACTGAGTGGGGGTGAGGACTCTAAGGCTGGCGTCCACAGTGAAAAAGGCATACGTGCAGGTTGAATCAAAAGAGGGGGTGGTATACCCATGATTATGATTTCTTTTTTTTTTTTTTAAAGAATTTATTTATTTATTTGAGAGAGAGAGAGATAGCAACAGAGACAGCGAGAGAGAGCATGAGGGGGGAGGAGAGGGAGAAGCAGACTCCCCGCCGAGCAGAGAGCCCGACGTGGGACTCGATCCTGGGACCCTGGGACCATGACTTGAGCCGAAGGCAGACACTCAACTGACTGAGCCACCCAGGTGCCCCCATGATTATTATTTCTAATTCAGTCTCAGGGAGCAAGGGCAGTGCCTGCTTCCCCTCATTACTGGTGGCAGAACATCTTGAAGAATATAGCCCAGTCCAATCACTGTACTTTGAAAGTCACGGTTAAACCCAGGAGAAGGAATTCAAGATGTTGGCTGGTTGGAAATCCTATCAAATGCAGAACAGTCGAAGGATCCTCTTGATCGTTACTAATTACTGTGATATTTTTATATTATCTAGGATAAGAATAGCTACTTTTTCCTGAGTATGTTCTAGGAGCCAGGCACTGGCTAGATCTTTTACATTCATTATCGCTTAGCCCAGAAGTTCCAAAATATTTACCCAGTTGGAATGGACTCAGTGGTAAATAACCAGCACTAACAGGAACCGGTTAAATGTCAATCTGACTTTGAGTAATCACTACCCCAAAGACTATAAACTGAGTCCATGGGCCACATATGACTTGTGGATGTGTTTAATTTGGCCTGAATTGTGTTTAATTTTTAAAAATTTGTTGCTGATACATCAAAAGATAGTGAGATCTCATACAAAAATCCTGATGAGGATGGGGGAATGAAGAGCCTGCCTCCCTGCAGGACAAACCTGGCCAGCCCGGTGCTTGGCTTGTAGAAGATGCTCAGGAACGGTACCTGTTCTTATGGATGATGTAAAAAATATTACAATAATTAGTAGTGGTCAACAGGGTCCTACAACTGTGCAGGTGGAGATAAGAACCCAGGTCCCCAGTCTGCCTCTGTCCCCAGCCACCTCCTCTCCTATTTACATTACCTGCCTGGCTTCTAAGGCACCTGAGCCTGTGACCTGTTCCCAGAAGCCACCACCCATTGCCCAGACTAGGCGAGAACCAATGTCTTCCTGGAGGGCCCCCCCCCAGGGTTTCTGAGGAGGGGCCTGAGCATTTGGGTCCTCAAATTCCCAGGGGATACTGCCGGTCTGGGGACCACACTTTGAAAACCACTGGTCTACAACTAAAGAATGAACCCTCCCTAGAATGGCACCGGGTTCAACGCTGCTGGAGATGGGGGGTATTTGCATCCCTCCTCTGGCCAAGTGAGGAGTAGGGGGGAGGTACACATTTTGAGACCTCATGAATAGCCCCACAAACCTAAGTCAGTTTTGTGCCCCATCTCTGAGTTCCCAGTTTCCCAAACAGAGACCCCATTCTTGTCTCCCAGGCTGCCATTTTGATCTTTTTCCAAAACAGTTCATTAAAAGTGATGATAGAGCTTAGCACATGCAGTGTCCCTCTCTGACCCCAAGTGCACACATGGACATCATCTTAAGGAACAGCATCAGCAGGGCTCAACACACTGTTCAACCCCTCAAAGACCCCGCACCCAAGACATTGATCAACATGTGACATGGCTAACAAAAATAATGATCAACTCTCCTAGAGCGCCAACTACGTGCTGGGCCTGCACTGAACGCTTCATGCATCATGACGATCCTCTGATGCAGGAATAATTAATGTTGCTATAGCACAGAGGATGAAACAGAGGAGCAAAGAGGCGAACAGACTCGTCCAAGTTCACCAGCTCTAGAATGATCAAGAGATTGTTGGTGGGACCCGCTGTATTCACTTGAGGGTCAGACACTATTAGAAATATCGTGCTCAATTCTGTGTCTCTATTTTAAGATGGAAGCTGATGGCCTGGAAGACACTAGGCATTTGGAGGTGATGTCACTTGGGACGTGCTTGCAGGTGGAAGGTGTGTGTGGGTGTGTGTGTGGGGGGGGTGGTATTTGGCCTGGAAATCACGGGATTCAGAGTGTAATCGGCAAATGTCCACAGGATGCACTGTAGAGAAAGAGGCTCTGAATGACAAGATGGGCCAGAGGGATGGCAGTTCTGGGGAAGCTGATTAGACACCAACGTGTACGTTTGCAAGAACTAGAAGGGCTGCAGCTGCCTGCCTCTAAATAACCTGGCTTCCTAACCCCAGGGAGCGTCCAGAGAGACGCAGGACGCATCGGGGATGCTGTGAAGGCGGGATGCTAACGGTGTGGGATGGCGGGGAAGGTGCAGGACCAGGGAGATGTAAGAATCACCTGGGGGACTTTCTTCAGCCTATGCGCCCTTTGCCCCCTGGGCATTCTGATCCGCCTTGGATGGAGTCAGACTGTGTGAGGTCTGAATCCCTGCTTCATCACACCCTGGCTGAGTGACCCTGGACAGAGCACTTAACCTCTCTGAGCCTACCCACCCTATTGCAGTACATGGAAGAACAGCACCTCCGCAATAGCTCATTGTGAGGATCTCATCAGATGCCACAGGCAGCATGCTTTATGTGGTGCCTGGCACATAATAAGGGGCCAAGAAATTCCTAATATTAAAATAACTACCATTATCATCATGGAGCTCACAATGTCAGGTTTCGATGACAAGGTTTATGCGCACATTTCAGCCTCGGTAGCCAGCTTCACAGCTCATCATAAAGTAATGGGGGGTGCCTGGGTGGCTCCGTTGGTTAAGCGACTGCTTTCAGCTCAGGTCATGGTCCCGGAGTCCTGGGATCGAGTCCCGCATCGGGCTCCCAGCTCAGCGGGGAGCCTGCTTCTCCCTCTGACCCTATCCCCTCTCATGCTGTTTCTCTCTCTCTGTCAAATAAATAAATAAACAAAATCTTTAAAAATAAATAAATAAATAAATAAAGTAATGGGGTCTCCCTTTTTCTTAATCTAACCAAGAAATAGCCTGTCTGGGGAATTGAAGTTCAGATTAATTTAGCGCAAACTCCCCCCTCCCACCCCGGTGCTGACACGGACTCCCAGCCAAGACTTTGGGGAAGGAGAACCCTCCCGTGGGTGCATGACTGTGGGAAACGGGAGGCTTTTATTCTTGTCCTAGAGATGTTACCTCAAAGCCGTGTTAGCATTCAGAGCCTCCAAGAGGTCTAGGAGCATGTCAGCTTTTGCTTCATTCTGTTTCGCCGCGGGTGGGAGCTGGCTGGTGGTGCTGTCTGATTTACTGACCGAGACGTACTGTAAGTTTCAGGATTACATTTAAATCCCGCGGAGGTAAACAACATGACCTTTTCAATGTCAGTATGAAGAGAAAGTGACACGGTCGAACCAAGGAAAGAACAAGGGCAAAATCAGACTCCGCATCCCTGTCCAAACCTGGATCTGAACTCTGCTCACCGAAGAACCATCTCCAAAAAAGTTACCAGCAAAGACAGTTAACTGTAATTGAATCGGTAACACAGGATCTCGATAGCTACGGTCTTGCCCGCCTTCATAGAGGCCGGAGTATGTGAATGGAGATCTCCATTTTTGTACCCAGTGACTGGGTGCCTCAACTTACAGACATATTCGAGTAGAGGCATCGAGGTCTCCCCCTCAGAACACCGTGGGCGCACACAACGGGAGAGGAAAGAGTATGTTACGCATGTGAATCCAAGAGTCAGGACAGTTTACTTACGGCTTTTGGCTTATACGGGGGCTGAATCTCTTTGCGTTCAAGTTTCTCCCAATCAATATACCGGAAAAACGCATGCTCCTTGATGTCGCGTTCACCTTCGGGTCCGCAACCCAGACGTTTGCCCGGGTGTTTGGTCATCAGCTTCAAGAGAAGAGGAAGGCTGAATTTAATGAACTTCGGGGGAGGACACATGAACCGCGCAGAAATAATGACTCCCGTGAATTAGGGAAGAAAGCGCAATGAGGGTCTCCATTTTTATTTCTTGCTTTCCATCCCAGACAATAATTTCCCAGTGAGGTCTTTATGATCGGAGGACCCAACAACAGTGCCCAAGATCGCTTACGGTTAATCGAACCTGAGCCTCAATGTGGACCTGAACTTCAAGTGAGAAATGTCACCTGATGCATTCTGATTTAAGAATGAGTTTTATGCAATTACTGGTGCATTTAATGAGAACAGTTTCAGTATCTTCAAATTCCGCACCTCCTACCCCAAGAAAGCTGGAGTGTAACCAAGGCAAAGGCCACATTCATTCTGATAATATTTGCATTTCTCAGTAAAGCACTTGTGAAAATGACAAAACAGAAGAAAAAATATTAGTCGAATGGACCCAAGTTTCAAGTAATTACTTTCTGAAAGCTCATTAAATAGTTAAAACCTAGCCCAGCTCATTTTGCTTGTATCACACATTACACTAAACTCCGCTGAGGTTTCTTTGGTGTTCCATTTAAATTACTTAATTATCAAAACCCTCCATCTTTGGGTCTCTGAGCCAGTGCTAAATAACAAGATGAATAGATGCTCCAAGATGAAACCAGACAGGCTTCCTCTTGTAAATGAATCCAAAGCAGCATGAAAATCTCTCTGATCTCAAGACTTGAGCAAATGCACCGAGAGCAAAGACGGAGGGGTTGGTGATTATAAAAATGAAAAACCAAAACCCAAAACCAACAAGAAGGCCTCAAAGAGGAAGAACAAGCAGTTGGAACATATGAGACCAAGAAGCTTCTCAGAGTTGACCAGACATCATGATGCCAGAGTCCTTAGATCGTGCCCAGGATCTGAGGATCATGGCAAGGAGATGAACCCATCAATGTACACCTACCCTGTTGGACATTCAGCTTAGCCTGATTCCTGCTTCCAGATAACTTGTCATCAGAAACTATCCCCCTACACACACACATACACACACATGCACACACACACACATTCTCCATATATGCTTTACCTGCCAGGGGAAAAATCATGGGGCACTTCTATTCTGAGCTGCTACTTGATCTGCACACAGGATCTTACCCAATTCTCACAATAACCCGATGAGGTGGGTATATTATTTTTCCCATTCCAGTGACAAGGCAACTGACATTTAGAGAGGTGGAAGCAACTAGCAAGGATGCAGAGATAAGGAATGGCAGGGCTGGGACTCGATCTCAGCTTTACCTACTCCCGAACTTGGGCTTTTAATGAGAGAGCTCTTTGTAGGTGGGCTCCCCAGGGACATTTGTGGCTTGGCTCGGTCAGGAAGGGTTTATGGAGGGCAAGCACATTGGGTCAAGCCCTGACATTTGTATAGGATTAGGATAGGAGCAAAAAAGGGCTACGAGGTTTTGGTTAGCACTACCACTAATGTTATCAATGATGCCTTCTGTGTATGGAGTACTTCCTATGCACCTGCGCTCTGTGCTCAAGGCTTCCTGGCATTACTCTTTCATCTTCATTTTCATTTTACAACTATTATCCTCATTTTCCAGATAAGAAACTGGGTCCAGAGAAGGAGTCATTTGCTCAGAGGCACACAGCCAAGTAGCAGAGCTATGCTTTGAACCAATCTGCCCGACCCAGAGCTCTTGCTCCTCTGTGCTATGCAGTCTGCTTGTTTTCATGCTAACGTGTGGCCAACTGGGGCCTCTGTCTGCTTGAAGTTTGTTCAAAGTGGGAGTGGCAATCTGAGCAAACTTATACTCATTTTTTTTTTCTGGTAGAAAATACTTCTTTAATGGGATGGATATATAAAGGACTTCTCAGCTGGAATGGAATGGGTTTCAAAAGCCTAGCTCAATTTCCGTGTAAGGACGAGGATGCCAAGCGAAGAAAAGCCACTGCAGAATCATCCCACGCTACTAATGCAAGTCTCTGCCCAGTCACTGCACTCTGAGCTGATGTGCCTGAAGCCATGCAGACAGCTGGATTTAATCACTGTTCTGATCTCTGATCACCTCCCAGGCGCATCCCCTGGGGCCCGCTGTTCGGGAGGAAGCATTTGCTGTTGGCTGGAGCATCCTCTATTCTTTGGAGCCTCAACCTTGAAGAAAGAGCCCACACTGGACTCAGCCCACTCAACTCGGAAAGGTCCTCGAACCCAGTGGTAAGAAAGTCACCCCAGTTAATCCTGAAGGTTATGGGTCTTAAATTAATAGAAATCTGCTCTACCAGGGAAACCGCTAATTGGAGCTGAAGCTGAATGCAACTGACCTGGAAAATCCTCTCTCCTCCATGACCCACTTAGAACCCCCAGCTGTCCAGGCAGGGCAGAGTGGTGAAGGGGAAGGTCTTGAGCATGTATTAATTAAGCACCTACTATGCGCCTATACCACACAAGGAGCTTTCTGTTACCTGATTGAATGCTCTCAAAAACATCTGTTCAATGAGTATTATTATTCCATTTTTAGAGATAAAGAGACAGAAGCCCAGAGGTGCAAAGGAGGACCACACACCAAGGAAGTGGAAGTGTTGAGATGTGCAAAGGGTTTCAATCTCCCAAATCCTCCACTTTAAAAAATTCCTATCACAGTGTATGCATACTTCAATGCCAAGAAAGGCCTGGCAGGTAACAGTGGTTCATAGCATTAGTAATAATAATCATAATAATGGTCCATGGGTTTTGGATCAGAACACCAGGCTCTGTTGTAAGGGATTCGTTTGTATTGACTCATTCAATCACCAAAAAATCCTGTATGGAGTACCATCATTAGCCTCAATCCACAGACAAGGTTGAGGGACTTACCCACAATCATAGGGCTAATAATGCCGGGACCAGGATTTAAACCCACATGGAACTGGGTCCAATGGAGATTTCTGCATATTGAAAGGGCACGCCCTATCTAAAGGGGACATGGGCTTTCCACCCAGCTGGCTGATGCTTTCTTTATAGGAATGACAGACCAGCATGGTGAGATCAGATTTTTCAAGAGAAACTGGACAGTTAATGTTTATGGGAAATGCCCTGCTCTTGAAATGATGGCAATTATTAAACAAACTAAACGCTCTGTATATGACTCTTCCTCCCCCATGAGACTATGTCTACGGGGGTCTGCACTGGCCTTACACTGTGCTAGGTGATTCACCACGAGTGAGGATCTAGGTGGTGTTGTCAAGGTGCTCTAGACGGAGAGGTTGGCCCAGCTATTTCAAACTGCTGGAGTTTTCCAGCATTTCTGCACGCAGGCCAGCTCACGGGGCATCTGACTAGGGGTAGGAAGAATAGGGCTGGATCGGGCAGTGGGAAACCTGCAAACACCCTGAGGATCTAGGACCAGCAGCCCTGGTTTCTTCACACACACAGGTAGGGGAAACCACTGGGAAGGCATGTCCATGCCCTAACCTTGAAAATGCACTGTCCCCCCAGATTGGTGGGAGAGTGAATACTTTATAAAGGCAGCCTCCATGGGCCATATTCTCCAGGGCTCTCCTAGCATTTCTTGCACACCTCCATCAGAGTTGAAATGCGACCACATTTGGGTAATAGGCTTGAAGGCAGTGGTTTTCAAGCCACATGGGGACTTTTGCAAAATACCGATGTCCAAACCATCTTTAGGGTAAGCCTGAGGTTCTGTGCAATCTGAAGAAGTACTTCAGGTCATCATGATAGCACCAAAGGTGAAGACAGCTGATCTCCAGGGACTCACCCAGGTCACTGTGAGCCCATTCTGTCCTAATGCTAGATGCATAATAACAAAGCAATCCTCACCAGCAAACATGGGCCCTGCCTTCTCTTCATCCACCGCCATGTACAAAATGTGCATGCTTTTCAGCCAGTTGGGGGTGTGTGGGGGGAAACTAGGGGTTCTGAAGACACTACATTTGGGTCAGCTTATCCAGAGAATCCGTTAGACTCAGTCTTTTGTGATATTTTCTTAGGACAGAAGTTACACGCTGTTTGTATGAGCCACACACATAAGCAGCAGAGCAGGCGAAGGCTGTAGGAATGGTGCTGCAGGTCCCTTGCACCCCTTCCCATGGGTTCCAGCTCTTTGGCAAGGTCTCTGCGTTTCCTATCTCATTCATCCAATATGCATTCCCCTGGGTGGCCTAGCTCCTGGAGCCCAGCCAGCAGCAAGATACAGCTGCCGGCAGACCTCTCTGGTACTTCTGTGCAGATTGGGAAAAAGCTCCCTTTGCTCCGGGAGGTAGCAGGTCCATGCCAGGCTCACAGGCCGGCAAGTGGGGAGACGGGTAGAGTTCAGTCTCCATCCCCCGCCCTCCCCCCCTCCCCCCCCCCGGGTGAGGCGTCCTTGTGCAGGGCACACCGTGCATTCTCCGCATGTGGTGGTCCTGGCTGCAAGCTTTCAGGGGCTCACTCACCCCTTTGCAGATGGCCACGGCTTCCTTGGACATGGACTTGGGGTAAGCCACATTGTGTTCCATGATGGACTGGAAGAGCTCATCCTCATCCTCCCCTTCAAAGGGTGCCTGTGGGACAGAGGAGAGTGTGGGAAGACAGGGGCACTGCCTGACCCTCCCCAGCTGCCCCAAACCACCGGGCCCTTTTCCCTGGGGTCCACAGTGAGGCCACACTCAGGAACTTCCAGGAGGAAGACGAGAAAAAACATTCAAAAGGACTTGGGTAACCCCAAGGCCACGAAGTCACAGGGGTTCCGATCTAGGAGCTGGTATCCAGCTGACACCCTTCTTCTAGAGAAACCATGCAGATGGGGATAGGGGAGGACCTTGCTTACAGATCACTCAAAATCCAATTACCTGCCCAGCCAACATTTCATACAGCAGGACGCCGAAGGCCCACCAATCTACAGACTTCCCATAGGGCTGATAAGCGATGATCTGGAAAACAGAAGGCATTCCATCAGGGAGGCAGGTAGGTTCTTGCCATGGCTGGAAACTGAATACTCACTCCTTTCAGGTGAGAGCAGAGCATCCTGGGGCTGGGAGGACGGAGAGTTCTTCCTTTGCCTGTCATCTGCCTGCCCAATTAAATCAGCTGTTATAGTCCCAGATGTGGGCCGCTGTCAAAAAGAGTGACGAAGGGGCCTAGTGCCCACTTATCCAACCTTAGGAAGATGGGTATCCTTTACCAGGGGGTGGGGGGGCGCAGGCGGGGGGTGGGGGGAAGCCATCTGTGGGTGCCGCACTGCCTTTTCTGAAGCACTTAGCACAGTGTGTTCTTGTTAATTTTAATACAGTGAGTGTGGTGGCATCTTTAAGAAGGAAAAACCATCTTTGTTTCTCATGATGAAAGTAAGAACATTTACACAACAATGGGAATGCACTTCACACTAGAACTGTACACTTAAAGATGGTTACGATGGTAAATCTCATTTTTATTCTTTTTACCACAATTAAAAAATTTTAAGTTAAAAAGTTGTAATAGCACTCTTACTATTTTCCTATGTATTTAAAAATATCAATAAGCAATAAATAAATAAATAAATAAACAAGCTAAGAGAACACAACTAAAGTCACCCATAATTATTCATTAAGAGAAAAATTATGATAGTGCTTTGGTCTATTTCCTCTTAGAGTCTTTTTTATTGACATCTAGTAAAGTGTGCATCTGCACGTGTTTTACATGAACACAAACACGTTAATATGTGGAATTTTAGTGAAGTATTTTATTCACCTAACATTTCCATGTGATAGTTGCGCATCGACGTAATCCATTTTGACTTCTGCCCGGCATTCCATTGGATGGATATACTGAAATCTACTTTGCCAATTCCCAACTGATCAGGTTTCTTCTGACGCTACAATACAGATTCTTGCAACTGGCTATTTGGACATTTGTCCAATTATTTCCTTCAGATAAATTCTTAGAAATAGCATTGGTGGATCAAATGGTATATGTAGTTTTTAAAAATTATTTTATTTATTTATTTCTCATCATGAGAGGTGTTCTTCTCTTTGAGCTCCATCACCTGTTTCACCCATCCCCCCCACCAACCTCCCCCATCTGTTTGTTCTCTATAATTAAGAGTCTGTTTCTTGGTTTGTTGCTCTTTTTTCCCTTTGCTCCTTTGTTTTGTTTCTTAAATTCCACATACGAGTGAGATCATATGCTATTTGTCTTCCTCTGACTTGCTTCGCTTAGCATTATACTCGCTAGCTTCCTCCACGTCGTTGCAAAGGGCAAGATTTCATTCTTTTTAATGGCTGAATAATATTCCAGAGAGAGAGAATGCGAGAGTGCACATCTTGTTTATCCATTCGTCTATTGATGGACACTTGGGCTACTTCCTTAGTCTGCTATTTTAAATAATGTTGCAATAAACATAAAAGTGCATGCATCCCTTTGAATTAGTATTTTTGTATTTTGGGGGTAAATATCCATTAGTGCAATTACTGCATCATAGAGTAGTTCTATTTTTAATTTTTTGGTGAACCTCCATACCGTTTTCCACAGTGGCTGTACCAGCTCGCATTTCCACCAACAGGGGAAGAGTGTTCCCCTTATCCACATCCTCGCCAACACCTGTTGCTTCTTGTGCCATTGATTTTGGCCATTCTAACAGGTGTGAGGTGATATCTCATCGTGGTTTTGATTTGCATTTCCCTGATGTTGAGTGCTGTTGAGCACCTTTTCATGTGTCTGTTGGCCATCTGGATGTCTTCTTTGGAAAAATGTCTGTTCATGTCTTCTGCAATAGTATATATAGTTATAAGGTTTTTGATACTTATTACCAAATTACCAGAGCATGGCAGAGTCTACAATAGCCATGTGACCATCCTTCTTTCAAACTGAAGGCGTGTAAAACTAACTGTATCAAAGGGTTTAAAAGGTGATTTATAGCAAAGCTTCAGGGCAGAGGTGAGATGGTCAGACTGTCCAGACTTTGAATCCTGACTGCTATTTCTGAGTTGCGTGACCCTGGGGGAGGTTACTTAACTTCTTGATGTCTTGGTTTCTTCCCCTACAAAAGGAATTTTATAATATCCATATCATAGGGTTTTGCGAGGATGGAAGAGAAATGTGTGCTTCTCACACATTATGGCCTCCAAATGTTAGCTGTAACTAGAAGGTTTTCTCATTCAGTGGTTGTTTTACTCAATGAATGTGGCCGAGCAAACTTGGCTATAAAAGGAATGTCCTTTTGTTGAACTTCATCTGCCACCCCTGCTTCCATCCTAACCTCAGAAACACCCTCTGAGGAGAATTAAACTCTAAGAGACCGAAGGCACGCTTCCTGTGAGAACGCTTATTGAAAGTGTTTTCACACTTTTAAAGTACTTCATGTCTTATTTGATCCTCGTGACAACCTAACAAGTTAATCCTTTTGCAAAGGAAAATAGAGTGTGGGAGGCAAAAGAAATTGCCAGAAGGTGAGGTGGTTAGTTAATGGCAAAGCCAGGGCTAACACTGGACCCCCGGCTTATTCCTTCCATCAGGGGGTTGGAGGAGGGAGCGACTTCCCCAGGAACACGACTCCAGGTGTCTGATGCATCGCAACCACCGGGAATTCTGGAAAATCACAGATATGCGGTCCTCCCTGCAGAGATTCGGATTCAGTTGATTCAGGCTAATGCCTGGGCAGTTTACATTTTAAAAGCACCCCGGATGACAGTGAAGTGCAGCGAGTTTGGAACCAGAGATTACTGAACAGATTACTGGCAGATCAAGGAACTGTCTGATGCCCTAACTACTTAACAAAATGATAATAAACCGAGATAGGACACGTAGGGAAAACACGACTGCATTCTAATACAGGTGTCCCTTGCTTTTCGAAAGTTCGCATTTCGCCACTTCACTTTTACGAAAGACCTACATTAGGACCTGTTTTCATTAACTGAAGGAAATCCGGAGAGGACTTTTGCTTTTATGGTAAAGGCAAAGAGCAAAAATAAAGTTCAGGCAGCCATAGCTTTGAATGGTGTGAGCACCTGTGCTTGATTTCGATTTATTTTATGCATCTGCTAGCCAGATGTGTCCTGAAGTATCAGAAAAGTGGAGAGGTCATTTTTTGGGTCTGAGAACGCTAAAAAATTTTTTTCCCATGTAAAACTGCTTCTTCGCTTCACACCATTTTGGCTTACGAAAGGTTTCACAGGAATGCTCTACTGTCAATAGTAGGGGAAATCTAGAAAGGATTTTTAAAAAAGATCACTTTTAATTATTTGAGTTTTACACAAATATATTTACCTTGTGAAAAATGTACACAGTATACAGGTTGAGCTAAATTTCTTTTTAGCATGCTCTTATCCTCAGAGGTAACCAATGTTATAAAATCAGTCTGGAACCTTCCAGATTTTCTATGCTTTTACATGTATTTCTACATACTCATAGGAAACATAGAGCAGTGATCTGTGTATTGTTGTTGTTTTCCGTATATGGTATCATATTGTATTTAACATTCTGTACCTTGATTCCCCCCCATTTTATTGAGAAATAATTGACATACCTCACTGTGCAAGTTTAAGGCACATAGCATGATGGTATGATTTACATATATTGTGAAAATGATTAAGATAAGTTCAACTAACATCTACTTTCTCATATAGATACAATAAAAAGAAAAGAAAGAAAAAAAAGGAAAAAAGTTTTCTCCCTTGTGATGAGAACTCTTAGGATTTATTCTCTTTCTTATATATCATACAGCAGTGTTTGCTATAGGTATTATGTTGTACATTACATCCTTAATACTTACTTATCTTATAACTAGAAGTTTGTACCTCTTGACCACCCTCTCACAATCCCCCTCCCCATCTTCCACCTCTGTGAACCACAAGTCTGATCTCTTTTTCTGTGAGTTTGGTTTTCTTCTTTCTTTTTTCAAGATCCCACGTATAAGTGAGATCATACAGTATTTGCCTTTCTCTGTCTGACTTATTTCACTTAGCATAATGCCTTCAAGGTCCATCTATATTTTCTATGGCTGGATAATAGTTCATTGTGTATATAAACCACAACTTCTTTATCCATTCATCCACCGATGGACACTTAGGTTGTTTCCATGTTTTGTAAATAATGCTGCAATAAACATGGGAGTGCAGATATCTTTTTGAATTAGTGTGTGTGTGTGTTTTTTCCCCCTTTGGATATATTCCCAGAAGTGGAATTGCTGGGTCATATGGTAGCTCTATTTTGAAATTTTTTGAAGATCCTCCACACTGTTTTCGAGAGTGGCTGCACCAATTTACAATCCCATCAACAGTTACAAGGGTTCCCTTTTCTCCATATCCTCGCCAACACTTGTTGTCTCTTGTCTTTTTGATAATGGCCATCCTAACAGGTGTGAGGGGATAATCCCATTGTGGTTTTAATTTGCATTTCCCTAATGATGAGTGATGCTGAGCATTTTTTTTCATGTACCTGTTAGGCTTTTGTATGGCTTTGGGTTGTTGGTTTTTTTTTTTTGGAGAAATGTCTATTTGGGTCCTTTGTCCATTTTTTAATTGACTGATTTTTTTTATTTTGTTTTTTATTTTGTTTATTTTGTTTGCTGTTGAGTTGTATGAGTTCTTTATATATTTTGGATATTAACCCCTCATCAGATATATCGTTTGCAAATACTTTTCCCATCCCATAGGTTCTCTTCTTACTTTGTTGGTGATTTCTTTTGCTGTGCAGAAGGTTTTTAGTTTGATGTGGTCACACTTGTTTTGATTTTTTTGCTTGTGCTTTAGGTGTCATATCCTAAAAATCATGACCAAGACCCATATTGAGGAGCTTTGCTCTATGTTTTCTTCTAGGAGTTTCATGGTTTCAGTTCTTACATTTAAGTCATTAATCATTGAGTTAATTGTTTGAGTGGTGTAAGATACGGTCCAGTCCAGTCTCATTCTTTGACATATGAATACCCAATTATCTCAGCACCATTTATTAAAGAGACTGACTTCTCCATTGAGTATTCTTGGCTTCCTTGTCAAACATTAGTTGACCACATATGCTTAGGTTTTGTTCTGGGCTCTCGATTCTGTTCCGTTCGCCTACTTATCATCTGTTTTTAGGCCAGTACCATATTGTTTTGATGACTATAGCTTTATAGTATAGCTTCAAATCAATAGTATAATGCCTCCTGCTTTGTTCTTTTTTATCATTTCTTTCTTTTCTTTTTTAGAGAGCGAGATAGAGATAGAGAGGAGGAAGGAGGGGTAGAGGGAGAGGGAGAGAGAGAATCTTAAGCAGGCTCTGCACCCAATGTGGAGCCTGACACGGGGTACGATCTCATGACCCTGAGATCATGACCTGAGCCAAAATCAAGAGTCTCACATTTAACTGACTGAGCCACCCAGGCACCCCATTCTTTCTCAAATCTTTGGCTATTCAGGGTCTTCTGTAGTTCAACATAAACTTGGGCAGTGTTTCTTGTACTTCTGTCAAAAATGCAGTTGAAATCTTGAATCTATTGATGGCTTTTGGTAGTATCAACATCTGACAATATTAATTCTTCTAATTCATGAACATGGGATGTCTTTCCATTTATTGGTGTCTTCTTCAATTTCTTTCAGCAATATCTCACAGTTTTCAGAGTAGAAATAGTTCACCTCCTTAGTTAAATTTATTTCCTAAGTATTTTATTGTTTTCGACGCTATCGTAAATGGGATCCATTTCTTTATTTCATTTTCAAAAAATTTATTGTTAGTATATGGAAATGATACTGATATTTATATACTAATTATATACTAATTATTAATTGATAATTATATACTAATATCGTATCTTGTAACTTTACTGAATTCATTGATTAGATCTAACAGTTTTGGTTGAGTCTTTAGGATCTTCTATATATAAAATCATGTCATATGCAGAGACCATTTTTAGTTCTTCCTTTCCAATTATGATATTTTTGTTTTCTTGCCTGATTGCTCTAGCTAGGACTTCTAGTACTATGTTGCATAGGCATCATGAGAATGGACACCTTTGTCTTATCCCTGCTTTTTCTGTATCTACTGAAATGATGTGATTCTTTTCTTTTATTCTATTAGTGATGTATTACAATGATTGATTTGCATATGTTGAGTCATCCTTGCATCCCAGGAATAAATCCCACTTGATCATGGTGAATGATCCTTTTAATGTGCTCCTGAATTCAGTCTACTAGTATTTTATTGAGAATTGTTGTATCTACATCCATCAGGGATATTGGCCTGTGGTTTTCTTTTCTAGTAGTGTCTTTTTCTGTTTTTGGTATTAGAATAATACTGGACTTGTAAAAATAGTTTGGGAGTCTTCCCTCCTCTGATTTTTCACAAAAAATTGAGAAAGATTGGTATTATATATTTTTTTAAATGCTTGGTAAAATTCTCCAGTGAAGCCATCTAGTCCTGGGCTTTTCTTCTTTGGGAGATTTTTGATTACTTATTCAATTTCCTTACTAGGAATTGGTCAAATTTTCCATTTCTTATTGATTCAGTCTTATTAAGTTGCATGTTTCTAAAAAATTTTCCATTTCTTCTAGGTTGTCCAGCTTGTTGGCATATAGGGGTTCACTGTACCTTGATTTTTTTTCTCTTAATATGTTTCAAAGATCTTTCCATATCTATATATATAACTCAGTCTTTTGAATTGAATTGATGTGGTATTTCATACTATAAATAATTCAGTCTATTGTCCATTCCTTGATTGACAGACATTGTTCAAGTTAGTACATACGGATGTACTCTGATCTTTATAAGAGCTGCATGGTACTTCTTAATGTGAATGTAGTATATTTTAGCTAACCATTCTTTTACTGATAGTCATTGAGGTTGCTTCGTATTTTTCATTATTTAAAAATAGCACTGTAACGAAGAAAGGACTTCAAACACATATCATTTCAGCTATGTGCATGTGTGTTGCAAACTAAGTTCCTAGAAGAACTATTTTGGTAAAAGAGTATGCAGGTTTTAAATTTTGTGGCAAATTATTTAGTTACATGGGGGCCTCTCATCACCATTGTCCCAAATAAGTGACTGACAGTCAAGAAAAGAATTCTAGAATACCCATTTCCAAGACTCTGCACCACATCCTCAGTTCCTTTCCTAAAAATCTAGTAGTAGATTGCAAAATGCCACTTCTCTAAGCACCAATTCAGAGAAAAAGGAAGGCTATCATCTGGCACAAATTTTGTACCATGACATGTTGGGGAAATCCATTCTGCAACTGACCATTTCCTTTGGGAAGGGAGGCAGAGGCACTAGATTTAAATCTTTTCCCTTTCATTTATATCTTACTCACAAAAAGAAAAATTCTAAGTCTTTCAGGATTTAGTATCAGCACATAAATCCTATGTCATATGTCAGCTTAGGGAAGCCCTCTCTGTCTCTCTTTCCCTCCTCTTAACAAACATTTCAATGTCATAATGAGGCAGTGTCATATGGCCATGAGCCATAGCAGCTTGAAGAACTCTCCTGATGTGTGGATGGTTCTTTTTGAGTTTTATTTAAATTTTCCCCCAAACCTTGATGTATTTTGGGCCTGAGCTTCTGGATGTGTGCAAAGTTAATTTGCATGTGTGATCTCCAAGGAACGATTTAGAGTATAGGAGAAGGACTAGCCTGAGTTTTGCTTGCCAAGTACCCCCCTGGACCTCTCCTAGCTCTGACATGGTCATCTAGGGCACAGGGGAGAGATCAATGCAACATGGACATGTGTTAGGGGTCCCATCAGCTCTCACCTCAGGGGCGATGTAGTCTGGAGTGCCACAGAATGTCTTGGTGGTCACCCCATCCCAGATGTTTTCCTTACACATGCCAAAATCAGCAATCTTGATGTGGCCCTCTGAATCCAGCATCACATTGTCAAGTTTGAGGTCACTGCAGCAGACATAAAAATTTAAGGATTTAACAAATGCTATTTATTTCAAGTCAACCAACAGCCACTCGTGACGTGCAAAACATTGTGCTAGATGTTGGGGAAGCACAGAGGTAAGTATGAGCCAGCCCTTGCCCTCTAATAGTTTATAATCTGACCGATAAAGAGGGGTCCACAAACTTGTCTGTTTTTCTTTTTCTACAGATCCAACTGTGCCAAGCATCTCACGAGGACACAATGAGACAGCAGCTCCGAGAAGAGAGAGCCACAGGAAGCTAAATAAAGAGCAGAGAATCCATAGAGGCTTCTTGTATCCAGGAGCATTTCAAGAGTCAGTCCTTGTACTTTAAGGACCCCTTATATTTCATAGTAAGATACATTTTTCACAAAATTATTATTTTTGAAAATATCTCTGAAGATCATGGAGGAAAAAAATAACCGATGGAAAGAATCTTATTTAGCTTCAAGTACTCCAAGCTCTCCTAGGCTGATTCCTGGGACATGACCGCAAGAGCTCCCATTGATTCTTTCACTCAAAAAAAAAAAAACGGGCTGCACACCTACTACGTGACAGGCACTATGCTTGGAGCTAGGTATATACTGTGAACAGGGTAAACAAACATTTTGCTCTTGTTCAGATTAAATTCCAGTATAGGGGAAAAGACAATTAACAAGTGTCCAAATCTATAATTATTATATGATTATTAATTATAATTATTATATATTACTGAATTATCACATTATTATTAGTTCTATGATTACCATAGATTTTGATGGGCAGTGTGAAGAAAATGAAGAGGATGATGAATTAGTAATTGGGGAAGGTTTCTACAAACAGGATGCCAGAAAGGTGTCATCTCCATGGAGGTAACATTTGAACTTTAACCTAAAGGACATGTGCTATACTTGCATTCTTTTATTTCATCCATGTTGATGAGGAGAGCTTGATTATTTTTGGAAATGGTTGCACATTCCCAGAGTATTGGTTACTCCAGTATCATCACACTTTCTTCTTCCCTAAACATCTACTCCAGTGTCAACACTTGGTATTTTAGTATCAATGAGTAGTGATGATCTATTGGCCAGTCTTCAATCTCAATAGAGTCCAATTTCCTGAGAGGTAATGGGGTCTACTATTCAACTCAGATCTCTATCTTAAATCATCTTTATTGGGTGGAGGACATCTGCGGTACCTGCCTATTTTAGCATCTTGTGATGACAGCATCCCAATATTCCTTTGAAGGACTATCCTTTCCTGATTCTCAAACCATGTAAGATTGGTGGCGCTGATCCCAGCTCCTGGCTCCACAATCAGTCATGTGGGCCTATCCTGGCCACTGGAAACACCTCATTCTGTTGGTCACAGTGACTGTTCCAGGAATGGCCATGTGATCCAATATGAGTTAATCAAAGCCACTGAGCATCAGCTCTGGCACTATTGTCAGGAAAGAGATGAGCTCTTTTTACATTGGGATTGCTCAGGTGGTAGAATGTAAGTCGAGAAGTGCCAGGGGTCACCAGATGGAGAAGAAAGCTAGTAGTGATAAAGCAGAAACTGGAGGGAAGGTGATAAAGTGAACACTCATAACATCATTTGAGCCCCTGGACCCATCCTGGTGTAAGGTCAGATCTGCCCCCTGGACTTTTCAGTTATGTCAGCTATAAAATATCTTTTTTAACAAGTTAGTTTGAATTGAGTTGCTGTTGTCATCCTCGACTATAATACAACTTCGACTAGAATACAACCTGAAAAAAACATACTGGCATATCCTATCTATGCCTGTGAGGTCCGTTCATCCAAGGGGAGGCCCACTTGCACCCCATTTGCCAACAGCAACATACAATGATCTTTGGTGCTGTCCATGTACCACCCATATCCAGCCTTCATCCTTCTACAAGCCACAGTGGTCTCTGAATGCCAGCTTAGAACTTACACTGGACTTTGTAGCAACTTGCTTCACCTAAACCTGCCAGGTCTACATGTGATTTGAATAACAGAGACCCATGACATTCCCCTCAGCTTGACCACATGCCCCCAAACAGGCAGCTGGGACAACTAGGAAAGTGATAACAACTTCATGTGCTATAGAAAAGGAGCTTCAGGGGGTGCCTTGGTGGCTCAGTTGGTTAAGCATCTGACTCATGATTCCGGCTTAGGTCATGGTCTCAGGGTCATGAGATCAAGCCCTGCATCGGGCTCTGTGCTCAGCATGGAGTCTGCTCGAGATTCTCTCTCCCTCTTCCTCTGCCCCTCCCCCCACTCTCTAAATAAATAAATAAATAAATACAATCTTAAAAAAAAAAGGAGCTTCAGGTGCCAAGAGCCAGCAGGTTATGCAGCTGGGGGACAACCCAGTCATATTCACTGCCACATATGATTTTTGATAGTCTACTACATCCTTTGGTTCAATGTAATAATCCATCATTTCTTCTTCAAAAGGGGGCTGGAGCAATTGTTTTCATTTTCAGAAATCCATCAAGGGCAAAACCATCACACATTCTAGGGATGGTGATCCATAAATAAGACACGAAGTTTGGAAGGATCTTTGTCCTTCCCTGCACCCAACATCTCCAGTTATGGTCCTCAGAGAGGGCAAGTCTAACCTAATTCCTCATCCTCTTTACTTAAGAATTCTCCAATTAACTAGAGATGTAAATGAAAGAGGGAGAGATTTGTAATATTTTAAAAGACCTTACCACATGAAGGTCACCTCAATGAAGTTATAAAACCACACATCTTCTGCCAGGTAATTTATCTTTACTGGTTTTCATTTGATTATCAATTTCAAAAACTCTGTCTCAATCAAGGTTTTTGATTGTGAGCAACAAAAATCAACTCTGACCATGTCAACCTGGAAAGGGATTGTTAAAAAGGTATTGGGAGTTCACAGAATCTCCTAGGAGGCTGGAGAACCAGATGTAGAGGCGAGGCAGCTAGGAACAATGCTTAATTGCACGCAGAGCTGGGCCAGTGAAGACGTCACAGATGCCACCACGGGGTACAGACATCTTGTTCCATGAAGCGTAATGCTGGACTCTGGATAGTGTTGCTAAGAAGTGCTTTCCCTCATGCCTCCGGAAAATAGATGTAGCTGATTACTATGGCCACCCTCAATTCTACAGTCTCTGCCTTTCTTGGTCACTACCTTCTGATTCATGGTGTTGTGTGAGTGTGACAAGTGTCAGAGCCTGGGTTGTGTGTCTGCCCTTGCTGCAGGGAGGCCGTGAGAGTATCTGGAATTTTCCATCTGTAGAACAGGAGATGGACTTTGTTCCTACACACGAATGAAAGGGATTCAGATGCTGAATGCTTTAAAAGAGTGATAAGTGTCCCCTAAGAAGTATGAATAGTTGAGGAAGAATGGGAGAATGTGTTGGTAGAGAGAGCTCTGAGTTAGGCAGTCTTAGCACCGAAATCTAATCTTTGTATTTTATAACCGGAATGGCAAAGGTCCTGGATCCCAGACCCCAATCCACGACCCTACTAGATTGGAAACCCAACCCTGAATCCCAACCCAGTTGACAAGAAACTCTATTTCCTCTCCCGGCTCCTCCCCTGGGGCTGGATTTTCTTCCAATAAACTTGCAGTCCCACATTTAATCTTCTCAGCAAACCTCAGTGGCCAGTTCTATTCTAGCCAAGACCCATCCTGTCCAAGAGTTATGTTCTAATGTCAGCACATAAGGTGAAAATCATGTGGAGTGAATGATTACCCATGATCCCCGTTCTTCAGTTAAGCCCCTGCTGAAGTTACTGGCTTGGATTAGGGGTCATGTCATATGGAAGATAATGTGTACCCTTCAACACCAGAGTTCCATTTGGCACAAGGTGCTCCCACTTATGGCAGTCAAAGAGGAAACGGAATCAGAGGCTTCCTAGGTGCATCTCTTGCACACACAGTGATACAGGTTCATTGAGGGCAAGCATGGCCAGAATGAGCGTGCGATTTACAGTTTGAATTCTTTTTATCTCTCTTTTTATCTCTTCACTGAACTCGCCCAAGTGCCAGGTGAAACCATTCCTCTTCCTGACCTTCATTCATCCCTCCACTATCAGGAATAACGAAGCAGAGTAGGGACTCTACGTACTCAGGATGATTGTCCCCTCCTCCGCTAGATTCATATCAGCATTTCAAGGAGTTCAAAAAAAGCCCCTGGACTCTGCAGGCTTCTGGCAAGGTGCCCACCTTCCATCTCTCCATTCCATCAGTGCCCACAGCCTCCCCTCCACTATCTGCCTTGAGACCACCATGGCTCATCTTTTTACGCTTTTTGGCCCCACGTCCTTTGGTTGCAGCAAGACGCTGATCCCGTGCTCTCCACAGAGTGACAGGCACCCCCGTCACCACCAGGCCCACGCCAGTCCCCTCCCCTGCTCGGCTTTTCTCCCTAGCACTTATCGCTCCTTGACAGGCTCTATCTCTCTGATTTACGTATCCGTCTCCCAGCACTACAACTGAAGTTCTCCAAAGGCAGGAGGTTTTGCCTTTTTTCTTCCCTGTTGCATCTACACCATCGAGAAGAGTGCTTAGCACATAGTAGGCTTTCAATAAATGTCCATCAGCTAAATGAATGGCATGGAATTTTATGGCTCTTCACAGTCTTTTAGATAGACCTTCACCCGTGCCAAGTGCCCTTTGGAAGCCCCGGGCCCCTGTCAGCCTCTCTTGCGTAACCAGCCAGCCCGAGCCCGCACTGCCTCTGCTGTCGCATCCGTGTGGTGTAAGGAGAATCGTACATCCCGGACTCACTGTCAAATAGCAGCCTCAGGCTCAGTAGTCTGCCTTGCATGAAATATAAAACGGTATGACTCATACAGCTATGATCATACACTTGCTCCTCCAAAAACGGGCAAATGCCAAGTCCTGAACTTAATCCTGTCTTTCAGGGCAAGCATTTCAGAGATTAATTTCTAAATTGTAGTTACGTAGCAAAGAAAATAAATAAATAAATAAATAATCTCATAATAATAGGACCCATCATATCCCTGCCAGCTGAGATTCTCTGCTTGCTCCCCAGATTTGGGGTCCTGAGGCAAGAGAAGGAAGTGCTGGGCCCCCACTGGCGAGCTTGCCCTCTTTCAAGCAAATGGTCTCCCGTTTGAGGCTCTGAACCATCACTGGTGGCAGGGTCCATAGCGATCTTCCGTCAGCATCTAGAGCCGCCCAAACTTTGCCAGGGCAGTGGGCGATGCGAACACATGCCCAAGTCAGGACTGGAGGATTCCTCCCCCACCAGGGATTCTAATTTTAAAAGCAGTTAAAGAAAGAGGCAGAGAGGGGAGGAGCTGAGGGAGCAGAGGGGATGGAAGGGGTTGCAGTGCTCACTTACCGGTAAATGATGCCCTTGCTCTGTAAGAAGAACAGACCGATGGCAATTTCTGCAGCGTAAAATCTGAAATTAGGAAAAAAAAAAAAAAAGCAATGGAGAGATTCAAGGACACCGTATGCCTGGCAAACCCTCAGAATTCAATACAGTATTGAATGAGGCATGGGGCATTCACATCCCACCGTAGATGGTCAACCACACATCTCGTAACACAAAGTGTGGGGGTGTGGACAAATTAACAGGGTTTAGAGAGCCACGAGGCTGCCTTCAGGACAAATCAAGGTGGGCAGAGGTTCAGCAGCTGATCGGTGGGGAGGAGGCCATGGGGGAGGACGGACTGGCTGGAGAATGAGTTTCAGTGTAAGGCAAGTTTAAGATCTGAATACTAACAGCTCATCTGTTGAAGGCTTTCCGTCTACATACCATCATTGTAGGTCATTATCTGATTAAATTCTAATAACCGTCTTCTGAGGTAGGTCCTACTAGTACCTCCCTCTTCCTTAAATGAGGAATTGAGGGTCAGTGACAGAAAAGGACTTGGCCAAGTTATATCACTAAGGAATGGCACGGCATTTGCCCAACGTGTAAGCTCTTAACGGAGGCCCAGAAGGAAAGAGATTTTGAGAGAATCAGAAAGTCCCAGTTATACCACAGGGTTAGGCAGGGCTTTAGGGAACTCTGTGAAGTGTCCTGACAATTTGTTTTGTGTGATAATGGGATGAGGGTCTGTGGTCAATTAGGTGTTAGAAGTAAAAGAAGAGCCAAGCCCATCGTCCCCTTAGAATTGTGGCAAGACCTAGGCATGGTGCATGGAGCTATCTAGAATGCAAACCCTACCAGAATACAGTGCTCACCACCTCGGCAGGTGGGAGGGGAGAGGGCAAAGCTGAGCTGAACAGGAGTCAGCAAGCCTCTGGAGTGACTGTAGGGGCCCTAGGTGAGTCCTGGGGAGCTTTCTAGAGGGACAATGAGATCTCAGCCAACTGCTCAGGAGAGGTTATCTCTGCTAATCCTATGACTTGCTGTTCCTGTTCACCAGCAGGGGAAGAATATGATGAGATCCATGTTCTCAAAAGAAAAGACTGGCTGCCTTGGGGACTGACAGGGACAGAATGGACTCAGCAGGGGAAACACATTTCCAAAAACCCAATCGTCTCCCCACCCAGGAGCCTCGGGGCACAGCCACAAAGCAACTTGATTGGTCATCCCCCCAGGAAGGAGGGCATCCAAGAGAGTGAGCGATGGAGAGCAGAGCATAAGAGCAAAAATCTGGGTCAGAATGTGGATCTGTCTCACACTAGCTCTGTGATCTTGAGCAAGTTTCTACAAACTCTCTGGGCCTGGCACACAGTAAGCTCTCGAGAAAGACTGGCAAATGAAAAAACAAAAGCTACCACGACATCCCCCAAGGAATCTACGGGGCCTTTCCTTCGGAGTCAAGGGCAAAAATCAGAGCTAGAGAAATAGTTGTGGTTTTCAAGCTTCAAGTTCTTGGTGTCAAGGAAAGAAAGAAGTATCCCATGTCAAGCAGAATACCTTTTTCCCTGGCCATACATTTCTCAAGAAGAAGCAGCTCAAGATGTTAAGAATCCCTATTCAGCTGAAAACCCAAGGTAACTAATAGCCCACCAAGTATCCCAAGGGAAAAGCATAGCACAAGTTTGTACTTACACAGCATGAGGCTCCTTAAACCGGCCAACTTGTTGGATGTGGTACATGAGGTCACCCCCGTTCACGTACTCCATCACAAAGTACAGGCGGTCCTAGAAGAGAGCAAACCGCAACATCAATATCCTGTATTTCTCAGGTTCCACATGGAGAGCAGGGAATAGCTGGGATTTAGGATCAAAACCCCCAGGACTCTATGACAGGCCCCCATTTGCCAGGCCCATTATTCCCCCAAGTGTAATATTTGTGCCACTGGAAGTATGCAACTGGGCATAGGCAGTACATGAATTTTTTAAAATTAATAGCTGTCAAGTTATATTTGTTTGTATTGGAAAATGTAATTAGCATATTAATATTGTGACTTCATGGATATTATTGTTTAGGATAAAGCTAATTGTAATAAAGGATAGAAAATAAATACATAGGGGCGCCTGGGTGGCTCTGGCCGTTCAGCATCTGCCTTCAGCTCAGGTCGTGATCCCAGGGTCCTGGGATCGAGCCCCGCATCAGGCTCCCTGCTCGGCGGGAAGCCTGCTTCTCTCTCTCCCACTCCCCCTGCTTGTGTTCCCTCTCTCGCTGTGTCTCTCTCCATCAAATAAAAAAAAAAAAAAAGAAAAGAAATACATAGATCATATTACAGATAATAGGTAGCCGTGGTAATCAGCCTCCATGATGGCCCCCCGTGATTTTTGCCTCCTGGTATTTATGTCCTTGCATAGTAGCCTCTTCCCACAAGGAATAGGACTGACTTGTATAACCAGTAGAGTGTTGTACCAGTAAAGTAGTGTGTGATTTCCATGACTAGGTCACAAAAGATATCGTGGCTTCCACTTTGCTCTCTCTTGGATCACTGGTTTGGGGTAAGCCAGCCGCCAGGCCATGGGAACGCTCAAGCAGCATCTCGGGAAGGTACATCTGGCAAAGAGCCAAGGCCTCCTGCCAACAGCCAACATCAACTCCCCAGCCATGAGAGGGAACCACCTGGGAAACAGACCCTCCAGCCCCAGTCAAGCCTTCTGATGACTGCAGCCCAGACGACAGCTTGATGACAACTTTCAGGTGGGACCCCCAAGCTAGAACCACCCAGGTTAGTCACTCTTTTGAGTTCCTGACCCACATAAACTGTGAGATAATAAATGTTTATCATGGTTTTAAGCCCTTGAGGTTTGAAGTATTGTAGTAGATATCTAACATCGTGACTATGGGGGAAAAATGAATTATTAGAATTTGAGAAATAGTGGCCTCAGAGAACATATCCAGAAGGAAACGAGTTTGGGCCAGAAAAAGGAATCTATACCCCACTCAGGGAATTCTTTAAACATGTCTTTCAAGGGAGATGGGAACTATCTTAGAGTCAGGGGCTGTGTTCCGCTCAGCCGTGTAAGCCCTGTTCCTGTCCCACGACTAGGTCATAGTAAGTGTCAAGAGAGTGGTGCCAAACAGATTTTATTTGGAACCCAGCTTTGCTTCCTGATTTGGAAAGGTTATTAAACATCTGGGTCTCTTCATCTGTGACATGGAGATTAATAATAATAATAATAATAATAATAATAATAATAATAATAACTGAGCCACAGTGTTATTGCTGGGACTTAGTGAGACAGATGAGTGTTATGGTCCTTGGGGGGACACCTCCATGAGATTTGCCTCTTCTCCTTCCATCAAGGGGTGCCTGCTAAATGAACAAATGACTTCACCTCTTCTTAGAGAGGTCCCCTTGGGTCAAGTCACATGATCAACTTAATAAAAAAATCAAAGAGAACGGAATGGAAATGATCAGAGCACCCTGCACAGAGTACCCCTAGGTGTTATGTTTTGGTTATATTTATGTGTGTTTGGTTAAATCTGTAGGTTGGTGTGGCTGGGTTGCAGTGTAAAAGGAGGTTTGCTGCCCAGCGTCACAAAGCTGTCCTGAGGGACTGTGAGACCAGGAACCCAGAGAGAACGAAGATGACATGCGTGAAGTGCTCTAACATGCAGCTGGCCCTCCAAAATCTTAACAAAATCTTTCTTACAGTGCACAGAACTTTATCTTCTATGTAACAGTCATAGATGCATGTGCCCAACATGTATTGTCTAATAATTGGAATGATACCTCTTATGAAATAAAGCTACCATCTTGTGAGCATTTATCATGGGACTGAGTCAACCACTTGAAATAGTTTACCTCACTTCTCTCTCTAAACAACCCAACAGGACAGTATTACCCTGCTCCCCCTTTTAAAGATGGGAAAGTTAAAGCCCAGAAAAGGGTAAGTAACTTGCTGAGGGTCACTCAGCTGTTCAGCAGCAGAGCTGGGATTTGAACCCAGGAAGGTCCATTCCAGGCTCCTCCTGTGTAAGGTGCAGAACTAGACATTTTACGATGTGTGGGTGTACCCTCCTCTCTAAGAGCTTCCGGTCCAGGAGCGGAGAGAAGAGATATAGAGCTGAGCTCCAGCCACACATCAAGACAGAAACTGGCAGGTCATAGGCGCAAAGCACAGGTTAACCGATTATTTCTGACAAGTCAAGGGACTTTCTCAGACTGATACTACTTGACCCCTACAACATCTTTAGTGAGAGGCAGAGACGGAGGTAGAATTATCACTTCTGTTTCTCAGTGTCCAAGGCCTATGAGATTTGCAAAAAAAAAAAAAAAAGGTCACATCCAAGTTAGTGGAGACAGCCAGAACTGCCAACACCCAGCCCCTAGTTCTTTGGGGTTTTTTGATAGAAAACAAGCCTTAAAAATAGCATCTGTCTTTGCTGCACGTTGAAGGGAACCAAAACACTTGCTTTTAAAAATTATTTTTAAAACTAGCAGATGGCATTGGCCACAGAGAGAAAAGCAAGTGAGGGAGAGATTTCACTTGCTTGCTTTCTGCTTGGAAGAACTCAGCTTGCCCCTCAAACTCATTAGTTAGAATCCCAACATCAGGGATAGCCCCGCTGCAGACCACGTTTTGTGGTCTGTTTCTACCACGAACCGTATGCAGGGAAATCCTGCGATCTCTCATCTTTGAACTGTACTGAATCTGGCTTTGGCACACTGGTACTTTACATATTAAACACTGTGGCTGGCATCCTGTTCGCCTTCCATTTTCCGAACACACACTTAATGATGCTCCCTCTTAGGTGAGGCATTATTCTTCTTCCAAAAATGCCACTGTGTATCAATCCATGGTGCCCAATGTTAAGAACTCGACCGATGAGTGGGGAGACCAGATAAGTTTCCAAACAGCAACGTTTCCCAAAGTGCGGTGGGAGAGAACTCCAGGTGGGCTACGGATGCATGTGGCTTTAGTTCTTTCATTTTGTGTTTATTTTAATGTGTATTTTGGATACCATAACTCCCCCTTGACGCCCCTGATTTTATGGCTCTGACTGCTGAGAGGGAGAGAGGAGTGTATGGAGTTACAAAGGAGAAGAGAGCAAGGCAGGGGAAGACCAGATAATGATACATGGCGGAAGGCCATCACCCTTCAAACTTCGGTTTTCTCACGCACTAGCTTCTAGATTTTACCGTTTGTCTGCCTCATCTACTAAAATTTACTTATTTTAAATTATTTCCATGAACCCACTTTTTCACTGGAACACACTGTTGAAAAATTTTAAAACGTCATACTAAAGTCATAAATGGAAATTTTCTCTGCAAAAAAAATAAATGCATATCTGGAGTCTATCAACTCTATGCTATATCCAGCCTGGCTTTGTTACATCGATCCCTCAACTGACTTATGCTTAAAACCAATGCATTTTGTCCATGGACCACCAAGTTCATCTCCCACTCCAAAGTGAAGAACATCAAAATTTGAAAAACACTGCCAGGGGCAATCTAGAGCCAATCTTGAGCAATGTGAATTTTACTTTATTTTATTTTAAGATTTTATTTATTTATTTGGCAGAGAGAGTGAGAGCGAGCACAAGCAAGGGGAGAGGCAGAGTGAGAGGGAGAAGCAGGCTCCCTGCTGAGGAAGGAGCCCGATGCGGGGCTCCATCCCAGGACCCTGGGATCATGACCTGAGCTGAAGGCAGACACTTAACTGACTGAGCCACCCAGGCACCCCTGCAAAGTGAATTTTAGAATTTTCCTTGGGCATTTATTTTTGCAAGTCATGTATTAGGTGTTAAAGGGATAGAAATGATGAATAAGATACAGATCTTGCCCTCAGAGAATTCAGAGTTTTTGTGAAAACAAATATGCAACTAACTTGAGCCATAATCTAAAATAAAATGTGGTAAGAGAAATTGCGTGACAGGCACAAAGAGGGAGCTCCGGGGGCGTCAGCTAACTAAATGGCCCTCACCCACTGCCTCAGATTCTTACATAATTACCCCCCTCCCCCATTAGGGCCCTGAAATTTGACTCCCCACTCTTATTTTTTAAAATTTATTTTATTTATATTTACTATTATTATTATTATCATTATTATTTTAGTAATCTCTACACCCAACATGGGGCTCGAACTTACAACCCCGAGATCAAGAGTGGTGTGCTCTTCTGACTGAGCCAGCCAGGCACCCCCATGTTCCCCACTCTTCTGATAAAATTATTTCAAGACCTCAAAAGATCTTTCTTCTGGTCACATGCAGTAGTTTTTGATTAGGACCTATTCGCTGTACCCTCCTACGTGAAAATCAGAAAGTATGTATTGAGTATAGAGAATCTCCTACGTGTTCAATTTTCCGAAGAGGACATGTCACAGCTCAAAGCTTCAACCCTCATCTCTCTGGGCTGATGAAAATCTTGACTTATATTTCCATCCTTTTTCTTTCTCCTGAGCTCCAGTCAGCTCCAGCTGGCTACAGGACGTCTCTACGTGGGTGTCCCACTGTCAACTCCAATTAAAAGCTCAGAAAGGCAAGCTCACCATCTTTCTCTTCAACCTAGCCAGTCTGCGCAACTTCTAAAGTGTTTTTCCCAAATTGTCATTGTTATTGGTGTTATTCTTCGTTACCTGCTGCCCTTGTCCCCTCGGCATAAAACGACTTCCGTCAATTTTAAATCTCCTTTCCCCTTTATCTCCCGTATTCAATCAGTAAGTAAATCAAACTAAATGTCTGTCTGTCACACCACATCATGAAAAATGGTTGGACAGGATGTGTCACATCT